TGTCTATATGGACACCATCTTTGTCTATATGGACACCATCTTTGTCTATATGGACACCATCTTTGTCTATATGGACACCATCTTTGTCTATATGGACACCATCTTTGTCTATATGGACACCATCTTTGTCTATATGGACACCATCTTTGTCTATATGGACACCATCTTTGTCTATATGGACACCATCTTTGTCTATATGGACACCATCTTTGTCTATATGGACACCATCTTTGTCTATATGGACACCATCTTTGTCTATATGGACACCATCTTTGTCTATATGGACACCATCTTTGTCTATATGGACACCATCTTTGTCTATATGGACACCATCTTTGTCTATATGGACACCATCTTTGTCTATATGGACACCATCTTTGTCTATATGGACACCATCTTTGTCTATATGGACACCATCTTTGTCTATATGGACACCATCTTTGTCTATATGGACACCATCTTTGTCTATATGGACACCATCTTTGTCTATATGGACACCATCTTTGTCTATATGGACACCATCTTTGTCTATATGGACACCATCTGTGTCTATATGGACACCATCTTTGTCTATATGGACACCATCTTTGCCTATATGGACGCCATATTTGTCTATATGGACACCATAATTGTCTATATGGACGCCATCTTTGTCTATATGGACGTCATCTTTGTCTATATGGACGCCATATTTGTCTATATGGACACCATAATTGTCTATATGGACGCCATCTTTGTCTATATGGACGCCATCTTTGTCTATATGGTTACCATCTTTGTTTATATTGACACAATATTCGCCTAAATTGACACCATCTAAAATTAAGTTTCGTGGATCCAAAAAACTCAGTGGATGAACAGTACATTTCTAGCTAAGCTGAAAACAAAGAAGGAAGCCTACTAGCGTTATTTACAGACTCGCAGCGATGCTGACTTTAACCTATACGTAAAAGCTCGAAATCAAGCTAAAGAAAGCTGTCGCACCGCAGTAAAAACCCTCGAAAAAAAATACTGCTAAATATTCAAAATAGAATCCGAAAGCCTTCTTTTGTACGCTAGCTCAAAGTGCAAGATAAAGTACGGTATATCTGATTTGAAAGTAGATCAAACGAAAGATATCCTCTGATGAGGGCAAGGCTAACGTTCTTAATCAGTTTTTCAGTAGCGTATTCACTGAAGAGGACTTGAACAGTATTCCAGCTATTGAGGAGCTGTCTCTTATACACATCTAGATGTGTATAAGAGACAGAAGTGATGGTATGGGCTTAAATCANGTCTTGAAATGCCTAGCAAATTACGGACCAGGTAATAAGTCCAGCAGCTATCTCAATCAATCGTCAGTTATGGAAAGATCAGGTTCAAAAGGCCGGATCCCTTGCGGAATCAAGTCACGAAAAGCACAAGAATCAGCAACAGGTCATGGGCCTATTGCTTCAGTGCCGACACTTCTGTTCCATTCTATTCTATATGGACACCATCTTGTCTACATGGACACCATTTTTGTCTATATGGACACTTTCTTTGTCAATATGGACACCATCTTCGTCTCTATGGACACCATTTTGTCTGTGTGGACACTTTCTATGTCTATATGGACACCATCTTGTCTATATGGACACCATTTTTGTCTATATGGACACTTTCTTTGTCTATATGGACACCATCTTCGTCTCTATGGACACCATTTTGTCTGTGTGGACACTTTCTATGTCTATATGGACACCATCTTGTCTATATGGACACCATCTTTGTCTATATGGACACTTTCTTTGTCTATATGGACACCATCTTCGTCTGTATGGACACCATCTTTGTCTGTATGGACACTTTCTTTGTCTATATGGACAACATCTTTGTCTATATGGACACCATCCTCGTCTATTTGGACAACATCTCTGTCTATATGGGCGCCATCTTTGTCTTTATGGATCCCATCTTTGTCTAAGTGGACACCATCTTTGTCCACATATATAGACACCATCTGAGTCAATATGGACATCAACTATGTCTGTATAGTCACCAACACACAATACGCTTCACTCATGCCTTTTGTATCGTCTTACGTACAATGCAGTGCGTGGTATTTCCTGTGTCCCGTGTCATTGTACGCGTAATTGTCTACCGTGACTTGCACATGGTATTCACGTCAAATCCAGTATCGCTGATGCCCTTCTCCCGTCCGCAGAACCACTTATTATCGGCTGATGCCTGAGATGATCTCTCATTTTATTATAATTTTCAATTATTCAGTTAGTTAGATTTTAATTTACACTCATAGTTAGAAATACAGAAGCAGACAGCTAAATTTGCGATATGGCATCCAACGCGAGAGGAGTTACGGTCGTCGTAAGTTTGATAGTCGTCGCGCTATGCTCAGCCACGTCCGACAATTCTTACGACTATGACTACGGCGACCACAATTACGACTACGACGCTCCGCCTCCCCTCGATTCGGCTGTCGTCGCAAGTAAGCAAAATAAGTGCTCTTAATCGCTTCTAGCTCTACCCTCTCATCCAAAAACTGCCCTAACTCCGCCCTCTTATTTAAGCCCTGCCCTAAACTCCTCCTTCTCATCCAAACCCCACCCTAAACTTCACCCTCTCATCTAAGCCCTACCCTAAACTCCACCCTAAAATTCAAACCCCGCCCTGAACTCTTACTTTTCATCTAAGCTCTGCCTCAAATCCAAACTCCACCCTAAACTCCTCCCTCTTATCCAAGCCCTGCCCTAAAATCTGTTCTTATATCCAAACCCTGCCATAAACTCCGCCCTCTTATCTAGGCCATTACCCCTGCCTTAAACTCCTCCCTCTCATTCTATCCTCGTCCAAACCCTGCCTCCTCATTCTAGCCTCGCCCAAACCCTGCCTCTTCATCCTAGCCTCGCCCAAACCCTGCCTCTTCATCCTAGCCCCGCCCAAACCCTGCCTCTTCGTCCTAGCCTCGCCCAAACCCTGCCTCTACATCCTAGCCTCGCCCAAACCCTGCCTCATTCTAGCCCCGCCTAAACCCTGCCTCTTCATCCTAGCCTCGCACAAACCCTGCCTCTTCATCCTAGCCTCGCCCAAACCCTGCCTCTTCATCTTAGCCTCGCCCAAACCCTGCCTTTTCATCCTAGCCTCGCTCAAACCCTGCCTCTTCATCCTAGCCTTGCCCAAACCTTGCCTCTTCATCCTAGCCTCGCACAAACCCTGCCTCTTCATCCTAGCCTCGCCCAAACCCTGCCTCTTCATCCTAGCCTCGCCCAAACCCTGCCTTTTCATCCTAGCCTCGCCCAAACCCTGCCTCTTCATCCTAGCCTCGCCCAAACCCTGCCTCTTCATCCTAGCCTCGCCCAAACCCTGCCTCTTCATACTAGCCCCGCCCAAGCCCTGCCTCTTCAGCCTAACCTCGCCCAAACCCTGCCTCTTCATCCTAGCTCCGCCTCTCGCCTCACCCTCTCCTTCTGTTCCCACCTCAAACTCCACTTCTTCTTTATAAATAAAAATGTTGGCCATTATATTGTTATGTGCAAGTAGTTGAGCCATTACTATTCTATTTAATGGGAGCATGTACATCTAAAATACTGTTTTATTTACATGCAGATCATTTTGAAACTTGGTACACATATGTGAAATCTAATTCTAGGACTTTTTTGTTCAGGTAAATTTTTCGAAAAAAATGAAAGTGAACGTGAAATTCATAGAAAACGGCAGAAAAGGGGGTACTGTAAAAATCTTTCTCCTCGTAGGATTTTCGAGCTATAACATCGAGAAACATATCATTCGATGCGTAAAGACCACATCTAAAAATCATCCGGTAAATTGTTCGATTTTTTCTGTATTTTTTTTCATTTTAACTCCTCCCCTACTTTTTTTAAATATATTATATTAAAGAAATCGAAACAAATGACCGGATGATCTCTAAAGATTTCTCTGACGAATCGAATGGTATATCTCTCAATGCTGTAGCTTGAAAATCATAGTAGCAGATACTTTTAAGATGGCGTTTTTCGGATATTTTAATTGTTCAGAAGACCCAAATACAGTAAGTGAAGTTTATTGAAGAAAAGAAGAACATGTCAAAAAAATTCTTGATATTGTAGCCCAAGCTTTCCCATTGCCAATTAGTTGCATTTAGGGTACCAGCACGCGTCTTTAGACTTATTTTTTTCAGTGTAATGTGAATATTAAGCTATAAATGGGACTTTATTATATTTATATATATAAAACTGGTCATAAGTATCAAAATCACTTGTTTGCTTGAATCGCAAGTTAACCAGGAATTTAAAAGCAAAGACAATACCACAAAAATTCACCATATCTTTATAAGAGAACTTCTGTTTTTAGAAAATCGACATTTACCGGCAAAGCACCAGCTTTTTTAGCTTTTGCTCCTTTCGTTTCAAATTAAATGGGATCCAAACATTGATAAACCGCGGCTTTCGCATTTGTTCTACTTTCCTAGCCATGCAGTCTAAATGTGAATTGTTGCGCAATATCTTTTCACAAAATGGCTTTCCATCGCACCTTGGTGTTAATCCAAATTAAACAGTTTATGGCCAAGCAATATACTGCAGTTGCTCCTAAGTGTGACAATAGGAAAGTTGTTTACTGTTCTTTTCCCTACTTTGGACCTGCATCTGAGACTTTGTCAAAGGAATTAAAAGTTTTATTTGCTAAATATCTTCCAGATGTAAATCTTCATGTGTTGCTGGTTATAACAATTTTAGAATCGGCTCGTTTTTCAGGTTTAAGGATACCCAACCTGTTCCTATGCGTTCGTCACTAGCTTATAGATATAGTTGTGCGAAGTGCGCATCAGTGTACGTCGGTATGACGTCACGCAATTTCTATACTAGGCTGGCTGAGCATAAATGCAGGAGTTATAGAACGGGGAACCTACGTGCACATGCTCGTCATTTTGCTGTATGTGTTCATGCCGATGAGTGCACCTCAGGATCTTATTGTGATTTTAAGGTTCCAGCATTCACATCCGGTGTTACTGATCCACCAATTTTCTAATCTCTGTATATATTCAAACAGAAGCCTAGCCTGAATGCTGCTTTTAGCTCCTTTCCTCTTGAAATAGTAAATAGATAGCCCGTTTGTTAGCTTTAATTTCATGCCTCATTTGCTTATTTCCGTTTTGATATCTGACCGTGGATTTTACTTTACTAATTGGTTGTACTTGTGTTTCTAGGACTGAACTTCTTCTAAACTGAACTTTNCCACCTCCACGCCGCCCCCCGCGCCCACTTCGCCTACACCAACGGCTTCCCCAGGTGGGTTAAGTGGGTTATATTGACCCACTTCCCACTCAGTGGGTTATATTAACTCATATCCCACTCGATGCACATCCCTCTCAGTGGGCTGTAATAACCCACCCACCCAGTCAGTGGGCTGTGTTGCCCCACTCATAAAATTTTTCCTCCACGATCAAGACCAGGTGGTGGGCAGACCGGAGGTAGCGAGTGGGCAGCTTCAACCCACTCGCTATTTGGCTGTACCTGTAACCCTGTACCGTGCACAGCTGTACCTGTAACCCTGTACCGTGCACAGCTGTACCAAACGGTAATGTTTAGCTCGTGAAAATTTTTTCGATTGTGCCTTGGTTCGCGAGTTTTTTTTTCATTTCACATTCACTCATGATTTAAACAGCAATAAGTGCTTAAATTCGCAGTAATCAAGAAATTTTTTTCAAACTACTGAACAGATTTGAGCGGAACTTAGTATTTAAATATCTGACCTCAGCAACGGTAATGTTTAAACCGGCCGGTAGAAAAGCCGGTCGTTCCTCCTATATCTGTATAACTCGCGAACGAAAGCAAAATAAAAAAACTGTCACGAGTTAAACATCTTCGTTGAGAGGTTAGGTATTTATATAAAAAGTTTCGTTGAAGTCTGCTCTGTAGTTTAGAAGAAATTTCTTGATCGCCGCGAATTTAAGTGACAAATTTCGTGGCGATATAGGTGCCGAATATAAGAAGTGTGAAATCAAGAATGACGGTGAAATATTTAATACACTTCTACCTCTCCAATCGATCTGAAATTTTGCACACTTTAGCAAAGTTGGAGACAATGCATGAATCAATCAATGAATAAATAATTAATTTAAAAAATTGATATTATTTTATTATTAAAAAAAGAAAAAAAATTTTTTTTAAAAATATTGAAAAATAAAATTAGAAATTCATTGTATATGTGTAACATTGGAGACACTGGCCTCTTTAGAAGTGTTGTCTTTTAAAAAGTAATTTTTAAACGCATATTATATACTCCTGAGAGTATGACAAGTGTGTCCTGAGAGTATGACAAGTGTGTCCTGAAAGTATGACAAGTGTGTCCTGAGAGTATGACAAGTGTGTCCTGAGAGTATGAGAAGCTGCCCAGAGGCTGCACTTCAAGGCCAGCCGAGGCGCACATTAGCGGCTGATTTACGTGCTCCCCGAGCCCAGGGCGGTGCCTGATGCAGAGTTGGACCTGACCCTAAATTTAGTCATAAAGGCGAAACCCTCACTGGCCTGCGGGTCAGGGAAGGTTTCGCCGTTTGAAGAATTATTCGAATAACAGAAATTTCAGAACATTTTATATATGGCGTTACTGGGCACCCGTACCCCAAGTGACCCGAAGAGGACATAATGACCCAGTGGGCTCTCGCGTTAGCCCAGTTGGCCTCACAGTTGGCCCTCTTGGCCCTCGTGGTGGCCCAGTTGGCCTCACAGTTTGCCTTGTATGCCCCCGCGTTGGCCCCATAATTGACGCACATTCCCCCCACAGATCTCTGACCCGTCCAGCGATGGCCCAGCGGGCGGGGCCGTGGCCCGGGCCTGCGAGCAGTACAGCACGAAGGTGTACGCCTGTGTGCACGGGGACCGCGCCATGGGGCCCGGGGCCTGGACCCTGGTGGGCGTGGGGCACCTCCTGCTGCTGGTGTGCATTGTGGCCCACTGCCTCCTGCCTGACCTCAGGGCCCTCCAGGTGAGTGGTGGGCCAAACGGGCCATTGTAATACTACTGTAATACTACTATAGCAGATGGGCCCAGTATAGCAGGTGGGCCCAGTATGGCAGGTGTGGGCCAGTATGGCAGATGAAATACTGCAGCAGGTGGGCCCACTTCCCAGTTGCTAAAATACACTGTCCGCAGAGGCAGTATATACTACTGTATGTTTGTAACCCAGTACGCAGTACTGTATATACTATGTATGTAACCCAGTACACTGTCCACAGGGCCAGTATATACGGTGCATGTAACCCAGTACACTGTCCACAGGGCCAGTATATACTGTGCATGTAACCCAGTACACTGTCCACAGGGCCAGTATATACTGTGCATGTAACCCAGTACACTGTCCACAGGGCCAGTATATACTGTGCATGGTGGTCACGCTGCTGCTATACAACCTGATGCTCTTCCCTGCCTCAGCCATCGACTTCCCTGCCAGCCACGTCGCCTGTATAGCACTCAGTGAGTGGCCTGTATAGAGGTCGGAGAATGGCCTGTATGACGCTCAGTGAGTGGCCTGTATAGCGCTCAGTGAGTGACCTGAATAGCGGTCAGTGAGTGGCCTGTATAGTGTTCAGTAGCGATCTGTTTATTTATTCATCTACAGTGTACAGAGCTCCCACTACACTACCTCATGAGGCTTGATCAGACCAGAGTTTCGTATGAATGCTGACGCTGCGTGCTGAAAGAATGTGGAGATAAATGCACTTAGAGTAAAACAAAGCTTCAGTCAGCCATGAATGTTCGACATACAGTCATGTTTGAAGCGCCCAGAACGGCCACCTCGACGTCCCTTCCTCCTAGCTCTGCCCTCGCTCTCGCCCTTGCTCCCACCCCTCCCCTTGCCCACTAGCCCTACCCTTGCCAAAAGCCATAAACACACACTCCCACCCTTACTTTTGCTCTTAGATCCACCCCAACCCTAGCTTCTGCCTTCGCCCCCTGTCGTAACCTTACCCCACCAAAATCGGACTCTCAGTCCAACCTCCGCCACCACAACTACATATGCCGCCATTCTCCCCCTTACTCGAACATCTGATGCTCAAGCTGCCCCCACCTCTCCCACTGCTTTAACCCATAAGGATCTGGATGTTGGTTTGCCATCATCTTTCCCAACCTTAGCATCATCCCAAGATGTTTATATACTTCAGGCGGCCACGTGCTAGAAAAGTTATTTGCTGGAAATAGCTTCAAAATTAATGTGAACACGGGAAGAAAGGTGAAGGATGTACATTTACACGTCTCAGAATTTGTTATAAATTCTTCGACTATAGCAGCGGGCATCCACGAGGATGCAAAAAGGGTAAGGATTGCCTCTTCTACCACCCTAGGCTGTGCTGGAGCATCATGAATAGGGAGGATAGCACCAAAGACAACTATCGTTTCCTCCATATCAAATAAAGAAAATGATTTGGAAAAACTTACAGTGGAGGGAGCGCCAGCGATACACCCTCACAACGAATGTCGATGTCCACCGCACGGCAGGCCACACGAGCGCAGGGAAAACAGGACAATGTTGAGGGGATAAAAATCACCATTGGAAGGAGCGGCGATGAACTGAGAATGATAAGCGGGGATGAGCAGAGTCCATGGAGTAGGAGAGAGGACAAAACAAATCCAGTAAGTCAACCAAGCAATTGAGAAGGAGAAGCACGAGGCGGGCAAGAGTTCAGACTCGCTGCTTTTTTAGAAATGAGGGAGAAAATGAAACACCATATGCATCAGTTAAAACTGATGAAACTCCAGATACAGGAGCTCCTGAACTAGAGATTCTTGACAGAGCGGTGTCGCTGCAGGTAAGCGCACCAAGAAGAGGAGAGTGTTGCATTCTGTTAGCCAACATCGAGAGGCTCTTCCCACAAAGAGCGACATACCGACATACTTTATGATTGCACTAACCGAGTCGCATCTAAGAAAAGATATCCATGATGCAGAAATTGCAATGGAAGGATTACGACATTATCGTGCGGACTGGAAGGATAAGAGGAGCAGTTGTTACCTTAGGAACTCCTTCGCAAGAAGCAACGTGGAATTGAGATCGAAATCTGGTAAATCTGATGGCTTTGTTGAATNGTAGCCCCCTACCTAACACCACCACCCTCCACCACAGAGGCCATCAAGTACTTCTTCTTCTGCGGCGTGTTCCTGTGGTTCTCAGTCGTCTGCTTCGACGTGTGGCGCACGCTCAAGTATGTGGAGGGAGTAGCGTGTTATTATGTCATACTCATGCGCTTGGATAACCTAGTACATGTTGTATATGTATAACATGTTATTTACGTATTTCATGTTATATGGTATGGCAGAATGAGTTCCTTTGAGCAGATTTCATTGAACGGCTGAGAATTTGTCTTATTGATAATAATGTTATACGTTTTTTCAATGTATCGAAAAATATTTTTTTTGCACTGGTAAAACAGAAAGCAGGGTACAGATGAATATTTTTAATTCGTTAACGACGTCAAGAAATTTGTATTATTACAGAATTATTAATGATGTGTTATATGTAAAAAAGTATTATGTCATAACGTGGAAGAATAAAGTATTGCACTGGAAATCGGGGTGGCCAATGTGAAACGTATAACCTTGGTTGAACATGTTAGTCTTGTGAGATATACTAAATGTTTCTTATATAGATTATGCGTGATTGTATGTATACTCCATTACAGAGTTACATATGTGTTACTCACCTCCATATAACACTAATTACCGAAGTCTGCCCTTAGTATACATGCCAGGTGGTGGAGGTATAGCGTGTAGTTCATGTCTGTCGTGCACACGCTGGTGTATAGTCTCATGTGTCACAAGCAGCCCTGATTACTCCAGGCGGGCGAGGACGTGTGGGTGGAGCTGGTAACTCGTGTTCACTCAAAGAAGAAATAGGTGGGTCTGGATGACCCACTTAGGCGATTCAACTGTGTCCAAATAGCGATGCTCTTTTTGACGCACTTGCTCATTTGTGGGTCATACTAACCTGTTGATGGCTTTAAATGAATCCTGTGAATCCTTTAAATTTCAGGCATGAAAGCCATCAAAAGCGAATTTAAGCCCCAAATTTATTATACCTGACATTTAAAAGGCTAGTATATAATAGGTCTAAGTCAAAGTCTAAATCGTCTAAGTGAGTCATCCAGGCCCACCCATTTATCTTAGTATTTCCCAAAGCATGGTGCAGGTTCTCATGATCATTCATTACCCCAGGCGGGGGGAAGACGTTGGGGGACGTCGCAGGTTCGTGCTGTACAGCACCTACGTGTGGGTGCTGAGTGCTGTGCTCACCACAGCTGTGCTCGTCCTCAGCATCAGCACGGGGGCTGAGGCACCCGCCAGCTCCCCAGCCAACAGCCTCCCCATGTGCTCCCTGGGACGTGAGTAATTAGCTCGGTTGGGGATGTCGGGGAATTTCGAGTTAATGTTTCGTCTATATTGAGTGAGGATCTTGCCCCAAGTTATGGTTTAGGGTAACTTTTGGCTGTTTTCGACTGTAAGTTTTAACTAATTTAGCTCTAAAGTGACTAAAAAAGTAACTAAAGTCTTTCTATTTTAAAGTAACTAAAGTCTAGAAATGTTTCTGGAGTATATGGTGTAGTCTTGTTTAAGTTGTGTAGACCTAAACTCTCAGGCTAAGTTTTGACGTAGCTCCTGTAGCACCGCCGGCAGTGGGAGGGGCATATTTGTCCACCTTGTATGCCAGCAAGCTGCTAACTTCTTATACCAGGCAGTGGACACAACTCGCGGATGCTGCATGGGAAGCTTGGAGAGGATTAATTGACTTATACGAAGTATTAATGCAGTGTCCACCATCTACACGTGACAAAACGCCAAATCACCGTTTTTTTTTTAATTTAACACAAACCGTATAACAATTATAAAAACTGGCGGAGCGGTTTATTTTCTCTAGGCGGCCGGCCACTATAACGTCGGTCATACCATTTTTTCATGCTTATTTCTAACAGTGTGGGCGATATCAGTATTACTAAATACATCAAACTTCAGCACAGCAAGGACCGTAGTCAAGCATTTCTAATAGGCACGCATCAGAGGTGTGGCCTCAACTTTTCGTTCAGTTTTTAATTCATTTATAGGATATAAATCAATAGTTTATGAGCGAATAAAATGTTCATACGCAAATCATATTCACCATATCTTCCCTTTAAACGTTTCGAAGGCTTGCCAGCTCCATCATGAGTTCCAAATTTCTTTAGTACAAGTATAAACAATATTCAAAATTACTAAATTAACCGGAAGAGATTTAAACCTAAATTACCTACCAATTTAACGACCACATTTAAACGGAAGAGATAAAAACCTTAATAGCCTAATAAACGGGCTAAATAACATCTAAATTCCATAGCTTATAAATTCAAGCAGATAATAATTATGAGTAATTAGAATATAGGACTTTAAATAAGAAATTTCTGCCATCCCAAGATCTTTAAATTTAAATATCGCGCTTCGACACAAGAGCGTCGTTCTGTACAGCAGAATAGGGCGGGCAAGCAAGTAGGCAGCCAGAACGATAACTTCTGCCACGATGTTCGGCCAATCTGATGTAGAAGTTACGCGATGTCATCGCGACGTACGCTGATGCGCACCATGCACAACTGTATTCAAAACCGGGGAGGACAATAATTGAAGCAATTTCGAGACAAATTCCTGATACTTGTAGAGGGAACAAATTTTGAAATTATTCATCAGTAACCCGTGCAAGATAAATTTCGGATATTATTCTACGAATAGAATCTATAAAACATTTGACAGTTATCGACATGTAGCAGAAGTGGTGCAACTTGCAGTAAATAACTACCCTGCTGTCAACCTTTATGACGAATTCAGAATGTTGCGTGAACTTTTAAATTTGAGTGAATGACGCCTTACTCTCTTTTGGATAATTTACCTGTGGTAATTTATGGTAATCTGGAGATAGATGACGCCACATCATTTTCTTGCATTGCAATGAACAACATGCACGGAGGGCGATCTATTTTTATTGAGCTCCTAAAGTAATTCCGTGCACTCAACACTTAAGTTGCCTTGAATATTCATTAGAGACTTCCTTTGTGCCATTACACGACCACTTATATGGTTAAGTTCGTTTCTTTGGTTAGTTTTAAGTTGTTTTTGAAGAGGAGTATGATAAAGTTGTGTTATCTCTGATGACAATGAAATTGATTTATTTTCTTCATTAATGCGTCGGACCAATTGATCTGCATTATTTAATAAGCGCTTTCTAATATATAATTTTTAAATGATGATTTTCGTGCTTCATAACATAGTTTTGATTGATTTTTATTGGAGATAACGTATCATGGAGGCTTTTTGTTGACTGAACATTATTGAGAGGTCGATAATTGTGATCGTGCTGATATATTTTATGTTTACTCTCTGTTAATGATTATAAACAATGTGTTTTTCATTGTTTATAAGCATTAAAACAATGAGTTCAAATCATGATTTTCACACCCTGCGTGTGAGCATCAAGATGAGATCATTCATTTACTGAATATTTTATTAACTCTACACCTATAATAATTTTTTGTTTTATTATATATTGAGAACTAAAGGGTTCTCTCTAGAGCACCAGAGAGAACTACCAGACTATAGAGGAAAAATTAAATGCAGCTTATGAAATTTTTTTCGGAATTTTAGCTCATGCAGGAGCTACTAAATTATTTTTGAAATTACAAAATTGAAATGATTAGAATTAAATAAATAAAATTAAAAAATTAAACTGCTTACCCTTCTAATGACAAGAATTGCTTGCTGTTAGTTCTACATGGAGCGCCGTGCGGTCTGAGGGACGAGGAAACGACGCCCGCGAGCTTCGTGTCATATCAGGCCGCAGGGTTGCCAGATGGCCTGAAAACGGCCAAGTCCGCGAATAAAAAAGGCCTTTAACTCAATACATAATAGTATATTTTTAGGTTCCGGTGTAAAAATTTCATATCTACTTTGAAGTTTTTAAAAATTTAATTAAGAATTACCCCTATCATAAATTTTTGCCGGCGAACGCAATTGAAAAAAAACTAAATTGCGGAAAAAAGACCATCCGGCAACTCTGTCAAGCCGTCCTCGTGTTTCTGATGAATGAGGAGCGGTGAATGTAAATAGGTTTCACGTTTGCTATGAATAGGACTGGATTGATTGTTTTTTATACGTGTTTATTAGCAGACAAAAAATGAATTTAATGAATCAATATAAGTTTATTATCAATCCCTGTTCTGTCAAGCAAATTTTCGCAGTTGAATATAACATTAGTCATGGAGGCCTTTTGGACTAAAACAATTTTAAAATTCGAAGATATAAGTATAAATCTATAAATGTTTTAGTTTAAATAAAACAATCAGTCCAGGGTACCTATTTCCACTTTGTCATGCATATTGTTTCCTGAGTAATAATAATATTTTGAATGGGACAGCCAAACTTGAACGCAGTGCAGCAATTGCATCACGAATATTGCAATAATAAATTGAAGAGATAACACCCGAAAAATACCTTAACAATCAAGATATTATTCACGACCTCGAACATATCTGCACGCTCAATAGCACGCCGAATGCATTATACCCTCAATATCAGCATTATACCCTCAATATCAGCATTATACCCTCAATATCAGCATTATACCCTCAATATCAGCAATATACCCTCAATATCAGCATTATACCATCAATATCAGCAAGTCTCTTGGTATATTGAAATTTCGTAGCAATTAAAGAAATGTTTTAACAGTGCCTCCTGTTGACGATGCAGCCAACTTCCTAGAAGGCCTGCAATTTGCATAATAACTTCCCAGTTAAAATTTTGAGCCGAGACCGGCGCCGGGTTTAGCCGGGCTGGTCGCGCTTTAGCAGGATGGAGCCGCGAAACTATAACCGGCCATCTATCCCTAAAACTGCGCTGCGCCATGGCTGATACAGAGACAAAATTCTAGCAGCTCGGCAGGGCCGGAACTCTGCGCTGTTTTAGCGCGGGTACTTGGCATTGCCCGGCAGGGAGCTGTGCAGAGCAGATACGCAGGCCGTGCATGGGGGGGGTTTTGAGAGAGGGAGGAGGGGTAGGGGTTGGAAACAGTGACGAGAGAATGAACTTCATCCTCTAGAGATGATGACTTGCAGCCTGTGGGTTTGTACTGAAGAACCTGCCACGGGAATTAGTAAGACAACTGCACCGCGCTCTACTTAATTAAACAACCTTACAAAGTAATGAATGTTTTAGAGTCTCGTACCAGGATTAGGTATTGTGTTTTTCTGGCCAAACGAGCAACATTTATTAAGATGCCATCTCGCTCGACAGACGCCAATCGCCGGAATCATCGTGTGTTTTATGCTAACGACTGGAAATGATGATTACACCGTCTTTTTTAATAAATGATACATATATTGCATTTGTAAACTCGCTTGATTTTGTTGCGATTAAATGCGTGAAAACTTTCAATAACTACTTCTTTTATAGTGAAGCATTGCACAGAAATAATAATATTTAGACTCTTTTTCCTTATCTGCAATATTAATGCCTGCGCTCTCACTCTCGGCACGAGTGCTATAGGGTTAAATTATACATAAATTAGCACTGCCATAAACGCAGGAGTGCTGGCCGGTACAGCGAGGCCGATACAATAATTCATTTAATTGATAATTGATTTAACTGATAATTTATTTAACTGATAGTTTATTTAATTGATAATTGATTGCTGATAATTGATTGCTGATAATTGATTCCTGATAATTGATTTGACTGATAATTGACTTACCTGATAATTTTATTCAAGTGATATTTAATTTTAATGCTAAAAGATTACTGATAATTGATTAAACTGATAATATATTTAACTGAGAAGATGTTTAACTGCTAATTGATTCCTAATAATATAATAATATTAATAATAATACAGGCACGAGCCTGCAGCGCTCGGCAGTAAAACCACGTGCCGCTTCTGGCTGCTGGGCAATTGTACGAAGCCCCGCTGTGCATTCCGGCACATGCAAATGTCCGTGAGTTCCCTGCTGCCATCATTTTCTTTCCTGTCTTGCAAATATTCTTAGCATTTTGGTTAAAGTGGGAACCAGGCTATGTGTTTAGTTATGTTGTTGTTGAAAAAGAATTATTTTCCGAATTGCTACCTCAATTATATAACATACTTTGCTGAGCAAACATCTATATATTCAATTATATTGGTGTAATTCGGCAGAAGCTTTTCTTTTATGCAAGTTTGATTGAAGACCAGAGCATGCTTTTCATTAAAAACCTTCTTGTTCGTTTTTTCAATGAATCGAACAAAATTTCTTGCTGCCGCCGGGAGATCATAAAGCAGGTTACCAAATGATATTTTAATGGAATGCGATGTTTCGAAAATACGATTTGCACTATCAAGCA